CGCACTCCAGCAAACTGGCCTCGATCCTTGTTTGCCACCGGCCACTCACGAGCAGTGGGATTGGGACAATCTGGGAAAGCTCCTGTGCATCCTGATAGGAGAATCCCGACATGATCCCCGGGCATCCCGGCTTTCCTGCAGCTCGTGGCATAACCCAGTGCCCCGTGATCCCCATGGGTTCCCTTGGCCTCCTTGCGCGCGAGTTCTCCGGAGCTGCCTCCTTCCCGATGCTCCGACAAGAAACTCCCCCCTTCTCGGTCCCGGGAGCCCAAGGAAATCTCCGGGCCTCTCATTTTCCGCGTGGCAAGGAGCCATCCGGCTTGTTTGACTTGGCCTTTCCCGCAATCTTTCCTCCTGGAGGCTGAGCAGCGCGCTTGGAGCATAAGGGCCGAGCGCGCGAGACGGGGCCGGGGGCAAAGCTTGGGATAAAGGAATGCCCCGCATTCCCGGCGAACAAAGCCGCCRACCTGAGCTGATTTGTGCCAAGCGAGCGGCTTCCGTGCACGAGCGGCGGCGCCGAGCCCGGCCGCGGGCGCYGCTTCCAGCCGGCTCCCCATTCCCCACTAAATCCCCCGGTCGGGAAGCGTTTGCGCCCGGGATAACCCGGCAARGGCGATGCAGCCTCTCGTGCGCGCCCGGCCATCCCGATCCCTGCAGGAAGCGCGCGGCAAATATTTACAGCGCTTATAAATATTTAGCAGGCAATAACATGCGGCGTCGCGGGCGCACCGGGTTGTGAACCGGGCCGTGGGGTGCGCGGCCAGGGCATCCCTGGGGYTGGAATGTTCCCTGGATTCAGCCCTGATGGGCATTGCGATCCCGCGCGCCCTGCATCCCCATGGAGCGTGCACTCCGCATCACCCTCTGCAGAGAAGAGAGCCTGCACCCCGCGATTTCCCGGGTTGTTTTACCCTCATGGGAATGCCGAATGTTTCTCTTCCCCCTAATCATTTATTTTCTCAGCCCTCTAGCCATTTATTTACCTTTTTCAYGCTTAATGATTTGCAAAAGCATCGAGAAATCACGTGCAGAAGCGCGCTGGCCCGGGGGCGCCGCGCTTTCTGACGCGAATGAGCGCCCGTCCAAAGTTCCTCGGTGGATATTCCGGGCTGCTGTTTTCCGAGCACGGCCTCGTTTCCTCGTTAAGACGGATGGCGTTTCTGCTTATTAGTAATTTGGCAGGTTCCCCTTCGTGCGCGCGCCGCGCTCCTGGCTGACGGCTGCGGCCACCAGCAAGGGGGGTCCCGTGGGAGCGCGCGGAGGCTCCGGGGGCGCTCCCGGAAAGGCCGCCGGCCTCCGCTGCCCTCCGGCCTCCAGGACTTTCCCTTTGGGATCCGGGAAGCCGGCCCGGCTCCCGCCTGGATTTGCAGCGGACCATTAGAGACTGCCCCAGCATTGCAGAGGGATTTCAGGATGGATCTCCCCGCTCCGTTCCCRTTTGCGGTGGGAATTCGCTAGCCCCGGCCCTCCTCCTCCTCCTCGCGGGAGAAACCACATGCCCCAACCCCAAGTGCACACATTTTTCCCCATCTAATCCATATTCCCGATTGACRGGGAAAGTCCATAGGAGCTATTTATGACTTGGCCATAAATATCCCTGCCGGGGAGCGCTGGCGAGCCGCAAGGAAAAGGGCGGCAGCGCTCGGCCCCGCGCCTCGTCTGCTTCGAATTAGCGGGGCCGCGCGCGCCGCCGCCTCGTCCCGCGGCCCAGGGGCTCCCCGGGATCAGGATGCTCCGCACGGATGCTCCGTGTCCCGCCGGGAGCTCCTACRGGACAACCGGCACCAGCAGCCCTCGGCACTCCCGGTCACCGCGACGGGGTCGCTCCGGTCGGGCTCCATCCCTTCTCCTACCCCTCCGCTTTTCCTCCCCCTGGCTCCGCAATTATCCCAGGGCCCGCTCGCCCCAACGGGGACAATGGGACAATTTGTCACTTCCATTGTCCKCCCGTCAACACTGGGGCCTTTTCAACGGGGCCAACACATGTTTTTTTGAGAGCTTGTCAGCGAGGGCTGTCTGGCCAGGCACATAACCGCGGAAAATGGGACCTTTGTTAACGCCGCTTCTTAGAAAAGTAAATCCATTCACTCTCCTTTTTTTTTTTTTTTTTTCCATGCCTTCAGTCTGGAATTTGCACAAGAAGCGGAATTGCTCCTGATCCCTAAATGATTGGTCAGCGGATTTGCATGAGGAAGCAGAAATTAATTATTCTTTTTTTTTTTTTTTCGTCTAATTGTGTGTTTGGAAATGGGATTACAATCCCCAGCTTCTCCAGCAGCACGAGGGGCTGGGAGGGGGGAATTGCTTTGCATTTGTTTAGCTCCTTAGCTCCTAAGAGCACCTAATCAGTTCAAGCATTTCCTAAGATCCTCTCTCTCYTTTTTTTTTTTTTTTTTTYCCCTGCTTTTTAATGACTCAAAATTGAGGGAACTTCTTCCCRGGAAAAGTTCCTGCTGGAGCCAGYRCCAACCAGGSCTGTAATCCRAAATGCCCCATCCCAGCTGAAGGTGACTCCTCATTTTCCAGTGTCTCCATTTCCCTGGTTTTGGGGTGCACCCTCGACCCTGCTCCCATCCACTGCTCCTTCCCTAAGGCCAGTCGGGAGTGCAGCAGGATCTCAGGCATCCTAAAAACAGATATTTTCAAAAAGGTTTTTATGCAATCTAATGAAAYGGCAATTGGCTCAAGCTCGTTCCGGAAGGCTTTTGTATGCGCCTTAAAGGATATCCCGCAGGATCGGGCTCYGGGGAAAGCGCATTGGAGTCGCACTGGGATTGGGAGCCGGGCGCAGGAATCGAACCCGSGGCCCTCGGGGAACGAGGCGGGAGGGGCTCACATCCCGCCCCTGCGAGCGGGACTGCACCATGATGACGTAGGGGGGCGGGCTGTACCAAGTACTGCGCGCGCGTGGGGGGGGGAAAGGACGTGCCGCGCATGCGCGGAGGGCCCCCAGCCACCGGGGGGGGAGGCGCATGCGCAGAGCGGGCGCTTCCGCTCCTGCCTGGGCCCGCAGCGGCGCCGCCGTTTTTGCGACGGCCGTAAGTGAGGCGGGGGCGGGGGGGCGGCACCGGGAGCGGCGGCGCCGCCGCCATGAGGCCGCAGCAGGCGCCCGTGTCCGGCAAGGTGTTCATCCAGCGCGACTACAGCGGCGGCACCCGCTGCCAGTTCCAGAGCAAGTTCCCGGCCGAGCTGGAGAACCGGGTAGGGCGGGCGGCGGCACCGGCGCGGGGGGCGGCGGCACCGGGTCCCCCCCCTAACCCTCCCAACCCACCCAACAGCGGGGCCGGCACCGCCGGTAACGTGGGCTGCGCCGGGGGCCTCCCGCCTTCGCGCCTCTCCCATCAGGGGCGTGGAAAATGTTGAAAAATCCCCYTTTTCCGCCGTTTTCCGAGCGCCACCTCTGTGTTTGGAGGGGATTTTCTCCTTGGTGGAGTCCCCCGTTGTTCCTCTGCGGTCGCGTTTAGTTAGGCTCGGTCTAATCGTGTAGTGGTTGTTTACCCAAGGGCTACAGGTCTGAGATTGAAGGTGTCCTTTGGACTCTGCCCCTGAGCAACCTGCCAGATTTAGCTGCTAATAGGGGGCACTTTGGACAAAGCTGGGAAATAGGAGTGAGCAGGAAACGAAGGCGGAAACCTGAGGATCCCTGAGGATCCTCGAGGATCCCCGTGGGCTCTGAAAGGCGACTGACAACGTTGGCTTCTTTTGCAGATTGACAGGCAGCAGTTTGAGGAGACCGTCCGGACGCTGAACAACCTTTATGCAGAAGCCGAAAAACTGGGAGGCCAGTCCTACCTGGAAGGGTGCCTGGCCTGTCTGACCGCCTACACCATCTTCTTGTGCATGGAAACGCATTATGAAAAGGTGGGTGCTGTTTGCTGTGGTGCTCGGAAGGCGGTTTGTTCCCTAAACTTCCACTGRGGATTGGTTTCCTGGTAGGTTTTCTTTGATTTGCACTGTTCTTGTACAGTTTCGTATTGATACCAGCTCATACTACAAGTGATTTTACGTATAGAAAAGCCTCTTTACTTCGCCCAATTTGACTAATACATAGAGTGATCGTTGTGTTTGAAATTCCAGCAGAATCCTGCAATTTCTGTGATTTAAAAAACCCATCACAATGGTGTTAGGTTCCCCAGTGTTATATCCGTGATAAAGCTGGGCCTCTGACTTTAATGCCATTCAAGCTGATTAAGAAACTGACCCCTGTGTTGTTCTATTACCAGGTTCTAAAGAAAATTGCAAAGTTCATTCAGGAACAGAATGAGAAGATCTATGCCCCTCAGGGCCTCCTTCTGACAGACCCTATTGAAAGAGGATTAAGAGTTGTATCCTTTAGTGGTTTCAACAGCTGGTTTGTCCAACTTAGAAAAACTGACGTTTTATCTCAGTGTGGCATTCTGTAGTTTTAATATCTTCACTGTTTTTTTTGTTTGTTTTCATAACCTTTTTAATAATACATTTCCTTARCAGCCTTACTCTGCAGATTGAAATTACCATTTATGAAGACAGAGGTATGAGCAGTGCAAGATAAAACTGTGGAGTCTCAGGTATTAACAGCTTCACACTACATGTTCCAAACCCMCTCCTGTATTCTTGAAGGGATAGAATCTGTCCTGCCGAGAGAGAGCATTTCTGCAACTATTACGYGTGATCAAAATCTTGCAAAATAAATCTTGTGTGGATTCGATTTTTCAAATACCAATTAAAGGTGTAAAAAATAGCAATAGTTGGCAGTATGCCGCTGAATAACAAGGAGGTTCAGATGATACCAGATTTAATTTTAATGAAATATAGGTCTTGCTTGTGAAAAGCTGAAACTTCAGCTTTTGTTTTAGGTGTTCTGTTAGGTAGTGATCTCGGTTGTTGGCAGTGTGTCCCGAAAGGTTTGAAAGCCTTTATGCTTGTTGGGCAGAAAAGAACATAGAAATGAAGGGCTCCTTTTTTTGTTGTTGTTACCCAAATGAAGTCCAGTGTGCTGGCTTCAGTTCAGGGTAATATTATAGCACGTTATCCCCAACTTTGCTGCTGCTTCCCTTATGAAAGAACAGAATATAGTTAGGTAAAGATGTATGTATGGTGGGGTTTTTGTTTGTTTTGGTTTTGCCATTACATTTTCTAATGCTGTCGAACTTTAATTTTCCAGCAGATGGCTCAGCGATGGACTCACCGTATCAAAGCTTCCCTACCTCCTACTTTAGAGCATCATTCCTCTCTCTGCTGCCAGATCCACAGTGCCATCTACTACAAGGACTAACTTCCTAAAACTCTGCTCCGCGTGGGGTGCCCTCCCAGCTGGTCAGCATCCATTTTTTGAGCAAAATTTTGGGATCATTTTAGTTTTGGAAGAAAAAGTGGTGAAGCTGCTTGAAAGAAATTGGGCCCCCCCCCCAAAAAGCCCCAAAGAAGCCTAATCCTTAGAAGTGAATGCAGCGATGTTCCTCTGTAATTCTTGAACCTTTCTGGCCATCAGTCGGGCTCGAAAAGCTGCAAGCCAGAGCTGAGAGCTGTCCAGGAACGAGGCCTTCTCGTCAGTTCAGTGCTGGAGCGATGCGCAGTGCCCCTGACCAGCAAGAAGTGACTCCAAGCCCTGAGCATTTTAAGTTTCCTGTGCTGATTCTCATTGAAAGCTAAAGTGTTTCCCATTTTTAATGCTTTGGCTGTTACTAAAAGGAGGAGAAATTGCTAGAGTTTAATACCGGGTTCTTTGCTAGTACCTGTATCTGTGCTGTTACTGCATCTATCTGTGCTTGTCAGAAGAGAAGGTCTATTTTTTCATTGATGGAACAGGAAGGACAATAAAATGGATGCTGACCCCATGAACGTAACAATCCCTACCCCAAATTTAATATGTGAAATGTAAAACTGTTTATGGATTTATTATATATAATTTATAGGAAAAAAAATGTTGATTTAACAAGTYGTTAGGTGTTGTGTAAGACGGTTCCATATCTGTAGCTGCTGGCAAACTGTTGAATTCCAAGGAAACTGCGCATTTTTCAGCATCTCCCATGCATAGACATTCCTCAGCAATACCTGCGAGCGTCCACATTGGCTTCCTATTTTGTGTTGTGTCCTTTACAACACTTCATTCTATCAAACAGGCGGCCAAGGCCGTAATCAAATTGTGGAAGGAATTCCAGAATTGAGGAAAATGAGGAAACGTGCAGAATCGTTGGAGTGTTTTGGCTTTTGGTGATACTGTAGGTGCTAATACTGGATCTGAATTTCCAGGCTTATCTCTCAGCCACTTTTTTTGTTTGTTTTGTTGTTGAGRTTTGTTTAACATTTTAATTGTACGGAACTTTTGTGTTTGTTTTCTAAACTGTAAGCGCTGTTTGCCTTCCACATCTGTTGCAATACTTTGCAAAAGTACCGATGGGTTAGTAAATTTTTTCTTAAACCGCGTCGCTGTCGTCTTTGAGGTGCCACCCTGCACGGAGGAGCAGGGCTGGTGGCCGTTGAAGTTTGAAAAAAAGGGGCAAAACTCGTGTGTTTTGGGGGCGCGTTGGCGGCCGCTCGGGTGGGGCGGCGGCCATGTCCCGCCGCCATGTTGTTGAGGGGCGCCGTGGGCGGGGCGCGCATGCGCGGGAGGGAGGGGGCTGCGCGGGAGGGAGGGCTGCGCGGGCGGGGGCGCACGGCGCATGCGCAGTGGGAGGGGGCTGCGCGGGGGGCGGTACGGCGCATGCGCGCGGCCATTGGCGGGAAATGGCGGCGAGCGCTGAGGGGACGGGGTCGGCGACGGAGGCGGCGGACTCGGATGGCGGCAGCGAGGAGCTGGTGCTCACCCCGGCGCAGCTCATCCGCAGCCTGGAGCAGGTAGGGCGGCGCAGGGGGCAGCCGCCGCGGAGCGGGCGGGCTGCGGAGCTGGGCCGGCGCTCGAGCTGCCGCTTACGATGGTTTCCCCCCCACGCTTCCCTCCCTTTCTTCCAGGCCTGGCTCAATGAGAAGTTCGCCCCGGAGCTGCTGGAGAGCAAACCCGAGATCGTCGAGTGCGTGGTGGAGCAGCTGGACCACATGGTAGGCACGGCGGGGCCCCGCCTGGGCCCAGCCCCAGCAGCCTCCCCCCTGCACCGCTGTCCCCAGGCAGCRCAGAGAGCTGCAGCAGAGCCCCGGGCCGCTAAAGCAGCTGCAGCCCCTTTCTGTGCACCCTTCTGGCAGCTTTCTTGCTGCTGGRCGTTTGAACCGCTTGTTTTGTCTTTGCAGGAGGCGAACTTGAAGCGGGCCAAGAAGGGAGACTTGAAGGTCAGCGTCCACCACATGGAGATCGAAAGGATCCGTTACGTGCTCAGTAGCTACCTGCGGTGTCGGCTCGTGAAGGTAAATGCTTGCGGGGCTGCTGTGAGGAGGAGGAGCGGCCTCAGAAGTGATTTCTCCACCGCTGCAATGCCTCCTGCTTCAGTGAAGAGCCTCAGTTAAAGCTCTTCCTTTACCGTGAGCACCATTCACGGGAAATCATTCCCTGGGCACCTTGTTGTCTTGCAACTGAATAGGATTGCGGTATTGCCACGAGTGTTTAGTGGCCTCCTGTGCACACAGGATGGCACAGAGGAACTCTGGCATGGGGACCTTCAATGAACATATCATTAGTTCAAACTCTGGTGTTTGGGTAGGCGTGAGGGTGCCGCATGCAGCTGTGCAGTGATGGATCACTTTGAGGGAAAGTTTCTTGCTGAGGAGAAGGGGTTTTCAGGCACAGATTRCTAGGAGAGCTCTGTTTCAGCCTGCGATTTTGTTCCAATTCCAGATTGAGAAGTTTTTCCCCCATGTCCTGGAGAAGGAGAAGTCTCGAGCAGAAGGGGAGCCTTCCATCCTGTCACCGGAGGAGTTTGCCTTTGCCAAAGAGTCAGTAGGTTTTGGATGTGCCCCTCTTCCTGCGCACAGATTTCTAGAACTGCCTGTTATGTTGTGCTCAAGAGGGTATTGGGTTGCATYAGGAACTGGGACCTCACCAGGAGCTTTCCTTAACGTCAAGGAAAGTGTCTAAGTAAAACAATCTTTCTGTTAGTCTCTTCACACACCAGGGCCTAGACCATTAGCCAAGGGAAGCAGCTAGGCTGGTCTCTGGCAATGCCTATGAGACCAGCAGGTGCTGCTTGCTGGTATTCTTGATCAATATTCTATCAGCTAATTTGTTTYTGATTGAACCTATAGCTGCTCCGATTCCGTCTTTCAGGTACATGGCAAACACGGAGACTTACCTGAAAAACGCAGCCCTAAAACATATGCCGCCCAACCTGCAGAAAGTGTCGCTCCTAAAATCAGGTGAGTACGTCCAGACTCTAGGATGAGTGGAAAATTGCAGCTAAAGGCGTGTGGGGAATGCTCTTGAGACCACAAAGTGTATGTCCTTGTCCTTCCACTGGCACGTGGTAGGGGGCACGGGAYGGTGTCATCTCTCTGCTGTGTGCAGTGTGGCTTGGTGTTGCTGGCAGGGATTCACCTCGGTGCTTGTGCTGGGCAGCGCTCGCTGCATCTGCTCAGAAGCCTCTAACGTTCCCTTTATTGACCTTGCGTTTGTTGCTCCTAGCCCCAGCTCAGAGTCTTGCAGAAGAGCCTAGCTCAGTGTTTGCGCTCTGAATCCGTTCCTTCTGCAGTTCCAAAGCCCAACCTGGACTCCTTTGTATTCCTGAGGGTGTTGGAGAGGCAGGAGAACATCCTCGTGGAGCCAGAGGCTGATGAACAGAGGTAGGTGGGTCCTGCAGCGCGCTTGTGTTGCGTAGGAGCACAACTTGGACCAAGCGTGGACGTGGAAAAAGGAGCGGCGGGTTCAGTGCCCCTGTGTCCCCGCAGGGAGTACACGATTGACCTGGAGGAGGGCTCGCAGCACCTGATCCGCTACAAAACCATCGCCCCGCTGGTGGCCTCGGGCGCCGTGCAGCTCATCTGAGGGCTGCGTGTGGGGTAAGCGCTGAGCGCCGTACAGGGGGTCCCCCGACCCCCTGCGCTGTCAGGGGACGGCTGCTGGTGGGACAGGGGCAGTGCCGGGAGGTGGCAGCACCCGCTGGYGCCGGTGGGTGGCACCGGCTGGGCTGGGCTGGGATGCCACCCAGCCGTGGTTGGAGCTGGCCGGGCAGCGGGGCGTTCCAGCCGGGAAGACACAGCAGGTAACTCAGCAGAGCGGCCCGTTCGCTGGCAGTGCCGAGGGGCTCGTTGCCCCCACGCTCAGTGGAGCTCTGGGTGGTTTGTGTCACCCCTGGGATGCAGCTGGCACCTTCTTTGTGCTCCCATGGGYGGGCAGCCTGTGTCGCTCCCTCCCTTGGGGAGCACAGGCAGATCCTGTCCCTGCAGCTCCCCGGCTGCTCCCACAGCAGATGTGGACAGAGCCCTCCACGAAGGCAAACACAGCCTTGCAAACAGCAGGGTGTTCTCTGCTGCGTGTGTTCATTCCTGCCCCAATTTAGCCCTGTCCTTTAAAGCAGGCTGTGGAGCGGGAAGCGTGGCAAGAAGGGTGCGCTGTGTAAGCCACCCTGTCCCCACAGCCTCGGGCTTGTCACGGGGGCTGTGCAACCGTGSCTGTTGTGCAAGTGCCCCGCGGCTCCGAGGTGAGGTAGGGCGTCCTTCTGCACTGCCTTTTCCGCACGATGCACTGAGCAAAGATTAAAAACAAAGAATGAAGGTATTTGCTTGCAGAGCAACTCTTGATTCTCACCCAAAGAGCAGGAGGGCTTGGAAACGAGGTGACAATGGAAGCAGCAGCTCAGGAAGAGCAAAAAGGAAGGCCTGGGTGAGCAGAGGAGAGCAGGGTTGCTCCGCACCAGTTTATTCCCTGCAGTGGGAAGGCAGGATGGGGCCCTTGCAGAGCGTGTTCCCTTTGTGTTCCTGACAGTATCATTTAGGAGGTAGCCGTGAGCTTTGGAATTCAGGATTTCTGCTCGCCTTCGGTGTTTCCTTTGCCAAACTTGCCCTCCCTGGAGGAAAGCTGCTGCCTTGGGGGAAGGAAGGACTTGTGCCACAAGCTCCGCAAACTTTACTCTGCCTTTGCCACCAAAGTGGGCAGCCGGTGGCTCCTTTTCCTTCAGGACAGGGTGTCCCGGCCTCGTGGAGCAGCCCGGGCTCCTGGGACAGGCTCCCCCATCCCCAGGTGAGAGGAGGCAGAGGTGCTGCAGTGYGTCATGCAGCGCGAGTGGCTTTGCATGTGTGGTTTATAGCGTTCTAATGAATCCAGTTAGCCAAAGAAGATTCCTTTAAGTATAGACAGTAAGAGGAAGGCGGGTTTAATCCTCAGGAATCAGTAGCACACTCCTGTGCGCAGCCCCGGGCGAGGGCGGCGGGCGCCCCGCGCTGCCTCCCCTTCCCGAGCGGCTCCGCAGAGGTGACTGTAGCCAAAGTCACCGCTAATCCGCGGGAACAGAAGAGCCGCCCGGAGGAGGCGGATGCGGCGCGGCCGGCACACTTTCTCCTTGGCCTTATTTAGTCGGACGCGACGAGCGTCTGGGCGGCTTAGCCGGCTTAGCCAGCAGCGGCGTGAGGAGCCCGTGCGCTGGCCCGCGTGCTGCATCCTTGCTCTCCTCAGGGCTCATCCCTGCAGCCATCCCAGGCAGGGCAGGATGAAGGGGCACTTGGCTCCAGGCTGTTTCAGCAAGACTTTTGGAAGGGTTTTTTAGGGAGGAAAGCCGCATCCCAGGAGCAGCTTTCTCAGCTGACTTTGGGTCTTGTGTAGGCTGCCCGGTGTCCCCTCCCTGCAAGAGAGAGCTCGGCTTTAGCGAGCGATTAGCTTGAAAGGCAAAGTAGGAGGAGGGTGAAAGCGGTCACGGAGAGGGCACGGGCGCCGAGCCCGCCTGTATCCGCTCTCCTCGTGCCACTCGCGCAGCCTGTCATGAGCAGACAGTTCTCAGCCACAGGCAGAGCTCGGCTCTTTTCAACCCGAGAGCCACTGCAGACGGACTCGTCGCCTTGTACCTTGTATGTGACATGTGCAGYTCCTCTAGTCACTCACAGGCGCCGACTGCCCTCAGCATCAAGGTTTACAAGAAAATCGTGTCATCTGGGCACCTGGAGATGCCACCCAGCTCCTGGTGACCCCAGGGGACTGTCCAACGTGTCACCCCCGGCTTTGCTCCTGCTTTTCCTGCTGACCTGCAGCGAGTTCAAGCCCTTTCCTGCGCTCTGTGCGTCGCGCTGCAGACACCCCGACGCAGCCGCTGGAAAACCSTAGGGATAGATGGATTGTGTGAGGAGCTGATGAAGATCTGTGCTGTCAGCAGGAAAAATCAGGTCTGCTTAACGTAAATAGCTAGACAGCTCTGGAGAGATTAGCGGGGAGTACAGGGCAGGGTGATCTGATTTAGGTGACGGTCCTTTCTGTCAGGGAGTCACACGTAAGCCAGTGAAGGTGGTTTGGCGGCTTGGGGACACCTTGTGCCTGCTCCGCTGTCGCTGGATTCCTTCTCCAGGGCAAGGAAAGTGGGGTGGAAGTGGATGGGATCGGTTTGGTGCCTGGAGCCGGGCTGCTTTCCCTGCTTGGATAGCCCCAGTGAGTGTGTGGACGATCCTTGTAGTGGAGGAAACCCTAGTAATTTGGTTATTTTTGTGAAAGTATCAAAAATCGCTGCGCTTTTGGGTGCATTTCTGTTAGGAAACCCTAAGAGTTTGGGTTATTTTTGTGAAAACACCAAAACTCGTCTCTCTTTCGGGTGCGTTTTTGTAAGTTGCCCGCAGCTCCCGCGCCAAAGCAGCGGGGGGGGGCGGGGCTTGAGGCGCAGCGCGAGCTATCATTG